GTCATTTTTAAAAGACATTGCCTAGTTCACATTCCAAATTCTGCTCATCCCATTCAGTTGTGCTCAACACCCACATTCGACGTTCTCTGTACTTTCAATTCCAAAGTCTTGGGAGGAGGTTTGAGAAACACACAATGTGAATGACAGCCTTCAGGAAAGAAAATGTTCTGAGCAGCTGGTTGCCTGGAGGGTGCTGAAAAGCTAACAGATCATACCATAGAAAATCAACTCTTCAAAATGCCTGCTTGGTGGTAAAATATCCTAGGATCTCGCACCGTATTTAATACCAACTGCATTTTTTTTTTAAATTTAGGAAGGATCAACTATTTTTTACCCCCTCTGCAGATATTATATAGGCGCTCTAATTGAAGCCTAGCTCAGCTAATCCAACTTTCAAGAGACTTGAAAACACACAGTACTAATAAATGCATTCCTAGGTAAGTTATAAAACTCCTGAAATCAACCTTCTTTGAAAGTTTTCTTCTCTGGGAGATGCACAGGAAGTCTCCATCTAGACCTCATTAAACTGGAGGTGACTTCATAGTACATCCTCATCCCTGTAAGGATAAGAATAGAGAACACTTATTCACTGTTCTAAGCACTTTAATTCATTAACCTATTTGATTTTCACAGCAACCTATGAGTCTAGTTCTTTTATCACCCCAATTGTACTTTTTCCCTTTTTTTTTTTCAAAGAATGGAAGTCTAATTGCTGTACAGTGTAAGTTACAGGTTTACAATATATGAGGTAATTAAGGTCTGGGGAGGTTAAGCCACCTGCCCGGACAATACATGATAAAGTGGTACTGCTGGGCCACTGAATTCTTTGGTCTCAGCAGCCCTGAGATGGAAGGCATTTGCTTTTGTCAGCACACAGAAAGCACAAGATTAGATGACCGCGAGTTCCAGTTCTGCTATGTTGTTACTTTTGCATCATTGCAGCAGTGGAAAAGTTTTTCTTTTAAATCCTAAGATTCCCAAGCCATTCCTTTTTGCTACTAAATAAGAGGTACAACATTGTCCTGTGTTTCTGGTAAAGACTTGCGATGCCTTTTTCAAATATTTTTTGTAGCGGAGTTGGAATCACGCAAGTGAAGGACATTCATGATTCGATTTTTCCATATTGAAAGAATGGAAGGCAGATGTGATCGATGATTATGTAAACCCTGGCAAGATATGTTTTCTAAATGTCTGTGCCCAGACCAATTCAGTCATGGTCTCTGGGGATGAGGCTCAGACAATCCCATAAAAAGCTCTCCAGATAATTCTAATATGCAGCCAGATTTGAGACTTTCTAAATTAGATGGTGCGTTATATTAGGCTTTCTCTAGAGGTGACTGAGTTGCATCAGCAGGAAGGTACAGAGGCCGGGTCTGTAGGTTAAATATTTATTTTAATGTGGTAAATATCTTCAGATAAACCCAATAACTCAGTTCCTAACCATGGACGTGACTTTCTGGATTTAATCACAAGAGTTGAAGGTAGAGGGCATTACCCTGAATAGCAAGGACCACTCATTTATTTTTGTTGAATCTAAAATACTGTTATTATTGTGATACTGTGTTATTACCCTATCATGAGCATCTCAGTGTGGGAAATGGTTATGGAATAAGAAGATAAAAAGCAGGGAGAGTGACAGTGAGCCAAGGATCAATTGTTCTTGAACTCTCTGAGCACCTGATCAGTACTGATTAATGATGTCTGTGGGATGACAGGGCATTCTGAGTACTGGTGACCCTCTACTCCAAGTTGATGGAAAGTCACATTAAGAAAACTAGAAGAGGAAATTCTGCCTTCTCAGCTAAAGAAAAACAGAGACAGATAGAGGCAAGACCACATGTGAGGGTAGAAACTCTGATTGGAGTTCCAGCTCTGCCAACAATCTCGTTGGAACCGTTGCCTACAGGTCGATTTCGTGACCAATGGGACAGGAATCACAGTAATGGTCCTACCTGATTTACAGGGTTGCTGTCAGGAGACAGATATCGAAACATTTGGAAAAGAGCAGTCTGCCAACATGAAATGTTATTATGAATCACCTCACTAGGTGATCCTAGAGATACAAACAGCTGTATGGTCACCAAAAGTTGCGCCATTCTGTTTATTTTGATTTACGAAGGGTCGCCTATTCTAAATCCTTCTAACTTTATCACTGGCACTAAAGAAGGCCTCTGTCAATTGGTTTGAGCACCTGACTTTCCTACACAGAGGTTATTTCATCTTTTCATTTTTGTATGACCAATGCCACCAAGCTGCATGCTGCCAGTTTGTTCAAAGTATGCATTTGTTTCTCCAAGTCCTGACAGCCTTAGACCCCTCTGTGCCCTTGTCCACGGTGAAAGTCTCAGAATATTCCTACCAGCCAGAGGACAGAGGCAAAACCTGACACTCCCTGACCCCCCAACTCCTCTCCCTGTTGGTCTGTTTCACGTCCAAGAGAGATGGTCCCAGTTAGGGGTTTCTGTGTTTACACAGATGTTGGTCTTGGAGGAGTGGAAAACTAGGTAGGTCTGGAACTTATTAAAGCCAGTTAATTTGACCACCAGTGTGGTCAAATTATAGGCTTCTTGTTTGCTTTGAAGTGGGATTGGGTAGACCCACCAAGCTAAAAGGCCAAACCAAGTCTCCTTCTCCTTCTAGAGAAAACAGACAAATTTCCCTTCTCTATGACTTCATCTTTATCTGCAGCAAGATTAGGGGAGACAAGGATTATCATGTATTGCGTTCATCCTACTTCCTCTACTCCTACGTCCACTGTGTTCTGAAGTGCTTCGTGAAGGGGGTGAAGTCTAAGAATGACTGTTTGATGCTATGCTTGCCTGCTTTATGCTGGATGAGGACCCAGACACCCATACACTATTTGGGATCGCCTTCTTATATAGCACTGGGCCACTGAACACCCAGTAAATTAAGATTTCAAATATGCGCAAAACGAAAGCAAATGGGATAACAAATTCCTGGAAACCCATCACACATGCAACAGTTGTCAGGAATTTTCCACACTTGCTCCATCCCTTTTGTTGTTGTTGTTGAAGCATTTAAAATCTAGCAAATCAAGATTTAGCAAAAGGTCTAGCAAACCTAGACATCATGTCATTTCACTCCTACACGCTTCTGTGGGCATTTCAAGAGTATTGACATGTTCTTGCATAATCTCGATTTCCACTTCTTACCTAGCCAAATGAGCAATATTTCCTTAGTATCCTCTAATATCTAGTCCATGTTAAAATGTCCCAGGTGTCTCAGAAATGACTTTTTTCAGTAGATCAGTCATTGTGATCAAAACAGGGCCTACACATTGCATCTGGACAGTATATCTCTTGAGTCTCTTGTCTTTTCTTCCTCCCTTTTCCCCATGAATAAATTATTTGATCAGTAGGGAGTCTAAAGCCCCATGAAGATCTGTCCAGAGAGAGTCTGTGACCTGCATTCTCCCAGGCAGAGCAAAGAATCATTTGCTCTGTTGATAACTTTGCCCAGGCTGACCTGACAGGGCGAATGGAGGCAGTGGGGAAGGACCCCAGAAAATGCATGAAAACCACTTTCTCACTAGTGAACCAGAGACAAAATTGAAAATGCAGGGTCCGAAGACGGCCAAGCATTTCCTAGTGACATTTGACCCAGAAAATAAAAAGTAGCCCTTCAGAATAATTCTAATGTGACCCAGAGGATGGAGTGAATTCTGCGAGTGATCAGAGGGTTGAAACTAGAACAGGGTTGAAACTGGTGAGGTGATTGAGTGAAGGAGACAGGTAGTCTTGGGAATTTGTTTTGTATTTTAACAGTACTTCCCCAGGTCTTTGTTTGTTTATTTGTTTCTTTCTTTATTTTTTAATAGAGGTACTAGGTATTGAACCCAGGACCTTATGCATGCTAAACATGCATTCTACAACTGAGCTATGACCCTCCCCAGAGACAAGTGGTCTTGGGAAATGTCACTTTCCTCATTTTCCTGCTCTATAAAAATGCCTCTGACTCCCCTTTAGGTAGATTAGCAAAGGACATCAACAAGCAGAGGGTCACAGACAGCGAAGAGTGGAAGTTAATTTACTGGCCTGAGTGAGAGCTTTGTCTGATTTTAGGAGTTATGTGGGCATCTGAGAGCGAAAGTATCCTGACAGTGCCTTTGGACTCAGAATCCAAGTGACGTGGCATTTCGCATGTGTACAAATAAGCCTGTGATGTATTCTTTTGTCTTTGCTGTTGGGAATTTGCCATATGTTGATGGATCCGTAAACGTTTGTTCTTTCTTTGCACTAAATTGTTCTGTAAGCTAAGGATTAAATGGTTTTTTTGCTTCACTCGTGTTTTTATAGTTCAAATCCTTCAAACAGGGCAAAGGATAGTGAGACATGATTACATGCTCTTGGTGTACGAAAAAAGGAACATAATTCTGCTTTGTTGATAATCTAGGTATTTACACATTGCTGTACCTAACTGCTTTGCATCCTGATTGTAAATTATTTGGTTTTTGGCAACCAAAAATATACTCAGCATATGTTGTTCATATGACCACCTTCTTGGTATGCAGCAGCAAGGACCAGTAATGAAACCACCATCCCTATTAGAGCGGTTTAATTTGCTAAAATTACCATGCAGAGAACATGTGTATGGGCCTCTGGGAAGCCAGTCAACTTTGAAACTGCTGGTATGTGATGGCATACTCTTTTACACAGCCTTGTTCTGTATAGAATATTAGAATATTCCATAGAGTAACTTTTGGACACTGGGTTCTTCTGAAATGTCATCGTTTTCTCAGTTTTCTTTTTTAATCACCTCTGTGTTGTTTAGTAGCAATTCACATTACTTCATACAAAACATCAACGATTTAGGGAGACTGGGATAAATCAGAGAAATTTACTTCCAGGCAGAGAGAATTAACAGGACAGATCAATTTATCCCTGTTAATACATAATGATTGCAAAGTGTGAACATTCAACTTGCTCATTTCCTTAGTAAAAACATCTTTTTATTTGTATGTATGCTTTAAAAAAATGAAAGCTCACTTCAGCAGAATGTATGCTAAAATTAGAAGGATACTGAGAAAATTATCATGGTCTCCTGGGCAAGGAAGACACAAGTTAATGAAGTGCTTGGTATTTTTCTGCTATACATAAAATAGATAAGCAACAAGGATTTACTGTATTACACAGGAAAATATATTAAATATCTTATAATAACCTATATTGGTTATAATAACCTATATTATTTAATCTGAAAAAAACATATAAAAGAATCACTTTGCTGTACATCTGAAACTAACACAGTATTGTAAATCAACTATTAAAACATAAGGTTTAACAAACATTTCCATGCTTTTTTTTTAAATTATCAGACTGTAGTTCAAACACACAGGTCATTGTTTCATGTGATAGATTCACTGCAGTACCACGAATCCCTTATCAGTTATTTATTTTCATAATAATTCTGCGTTATAAGTCTTTCTGTAGAATTATAGTTCCATAAATGAATCATTCCAGTCGCTAACAATAAGCAACTGAAGTCGATCAGAACACACCATTTACAGACTTCTAAAAACTGCATGACGCAGGCTGTAATCAAGAGAATCAGAATAGAGACTGTGAATAATAATGCATATCTTCCCACATAAATTCTTTCATCTTCCCTTCTCTGGAGGAGCCCTCACCAATTTTTTTTTTTTTTTAAGTAGAAGAAGCCAAGTTAAGGAGCTCCAGGGGCCAAAGCTGAGAACGCATCCAGGTGTTCTACCTCTGCATCTCTTGGCCCCTTTAAAACCCCTCTGAGCTGCATTTCATACCCTCATGTATTGTATTCAAGTCTATAATAAGATGCCTTGAATGCTAAGCATTTGAAGTGCTGCTTTTTAAAAGTGTTGTCATAACAACGGGAATAAAATGACGAATGTAACTTGAGTTTGAAAGGACTGCCTTAGTTTTAAGTCCATTGCTTTCCCTAAGCAAGGGCTTAATGGTCACCTCCTAGTGCAAATGAAGGCCATGATATATGTCATCACATAATTGAGTCAGTTACATTTACCGTCACATAATTATCAATCAATCCCCCATCAGTTCAATTGACTTGTTAAAATGGTCAGAAATAAATTAATTGACCATAAGAAAAGTCTAGTAGTTTGATTATTTATGCCATAATCTAAGCATTAAGATAATTTCTTATTCTTTCTCTGAGATGAACTATACCCTGTTGCTTTTGTTATAAGGCTCAATTCCATTTTCTACCTGACACTCATGCCCATGGACAAATTCCAGTGCTGGGCTAGGAAACAGTGCACGGTGCATAATTATGCTTCCTGACACACTGCTGGGTATATTTCTTCTAGAATCTAATGATGTTTTTTATGTTTAAGATGTCCAAAGATGTAGCTCAGTCCTAGTGAAAACAATAAAAAAAGGAGCTTATAAAAATGATAATTTCAGTTAAGTCAAATGACAATAGATGTCAGTATCATTTTGATTCTGTTTTGAAGTAAAGAAACAACAATCACCATTAGCTCGAAATGAGTTGCCAAGCTCAAGGGGTAAACAGGCTACATGCAAGAAGAGCCTAAAGGAATTAATAACATCCATTTTCTTCTATCTCGGAGCGTTGTTTTTGAATCTGATGATCAAATAATGAGGGTTTGTTGTGGGTGTATTTTTTTTCCCAGCAGTATCAGCCAAGCTGTCTATGAGGACCATGTTTCCAAGAAATTTTCCCTCTTGATGGTTTTTGCTGGGTTTAAAAAAAAATAGGTAAATTTACTTATTCTTGCTATAGCCTCAACCGTCATTTAAGTGCAGAATGCTTTTTCCTTCAAACCAGGAAGCAGTTGGTCCTGTTCTGATGTGCCGTTTGCACCAAATGAAGGTCTCTCAGTGTTCTAGATTTTGCATTTTAAAATGAGTTGTGACAACATTAGTCAAAATCCATTCAACCCCTCTTGACACTTAAGCGACTTTTATGTCCTGAATTATCGTGAGGCCAGCTGCTTCTCCCCACATTTAGTTAATCCACTAGGATAGAAGAAGAAACAGAGTTTTCATTTTCCTCAGGCTGAATCGGTGTCAATTATCTAGAAATTTCTAGAACTGATGGTCCCAGTGAGTAGACCTGCAATTAACGTTTCTTCTTTACTCTTCAGATGGTTCAGCCAGACCCTTAAAATAGCTTCACAGTCCTCTGCTGTCATTGCTTTGAGGCGGAAAAAAGGGAAAGAAAGAGGGGAGCAGTAATGTCAAATTACTTAATTTCTATACAGCTCTTTAACTTTAAAGTAGGTATGGTTTTCTAATTGGCACGTTCCATTTGATTGGATAAAAGTCAGATGTATCTTCAAAGGATACATTCTCATTAGTAGAAAAGATCATTACTCCACACTAAGCCTTTTAGATATGTTATTTCATTTTCTCCTTGCAATGACCTTGGTGACTTAGGTCTTATAATTCTCATTTTATTGACAAGAAAAATTGGAGAGCAGAGAGAATCCATGACTTGGGTGAAACCTGGGTCAGCCTGGCTCTAAGCCAATGATCTTCTATCCTACTCAGTACTGAGCAAAAAAGAAGTTGGTCCAGACAGATGCTCGGTTACCTACATTCAAGAAGTTTGTGGCTTGGTTAAAGAAATGAAACATAATCAGGAAAATAATTATAATACATTGAGTCCCTGAATATGCTCATTCTCACAAGTAATTTCAAGTTTTGAGGTCCACAAGGCAGGATCCCTCTGATTGAGCTGCTTAGAAGATGCTTAAAGAAACAGTTGGCTTTTTTGTCAAATGATGGTGATAGATTAAACCCATAGAAAACAAATAAGAATGCATGAGTCCATCCTGGCAGTCCTGACAATAAATAGACAAAAAGAAATAAGTAAAAAGATTAAAGAAAACTCTTTCTTACAGTAGAAAACAAAACAATGATTGAGTTCAAAGAGTACTCATCATAGTAATTTTTCCATCATCATAGTAATCATTGATTTGGGCAATAATCATCAATGGATGTGAAAACTTTTGGGTTAAAGAAATAAGATATTTGCAGAGCCTCCAAGTACCTCCTTACCAACCACTTACCAGTTACAAAGGCAAAAACAGAAATTTTCCAGGGGAGAAACTGTCCAACAGTACCTTAACCAAGTGATCACAGTTAACATCATCAGTCATGGGACCAAGTGACTCTTTGTGCCTTCTGATGCCATGCCATCAGAAAGACAACATTACTTATGTGATGTCACTGCCAAAAATGCATAGCCTGAATCTAATTGTGAGAAAATATCAGACAAGCCCAAACTAAGGAACATTCTATAAAGTAACTGTACTCTATGAAAATGTCCTTGTCAGGAAAGACAAAGAAAGGACAAGCAACCATCCCAGATTAAAGGAGACTGAAGGCAAATGACAGGAGAGGCAGCTCGTGATCCTGGACTGGCTCCTGGAATGGGGTGGTGGGGGGTTGGGGACAGTATATGGAACATTACTGGGACAGTTTGTGAAATTTGAATAACATATGTACATTAGATAATAGTATTATACTGATTTAAATTTCCTGATGTTAGTAGTTGTATTGTGGTTATGTAAAGTGAATGACCACGTCTTTGGGATACACACATTGAACTATTTAAGAGTTAATTACATCATATCTGCAAATTGCTCAATAGGGAGGAGCATATAAACATGCAAATTGCTCTCAAATGAGTCAGGAAATAATTGTGTGTGCGTGTGCCTACCGAGGGGGGAATGACAAAGTGAAATTTGACAGATGTCAACAAATGATGAATCTGGATGAAAGATGTATGAGAGCTTTTTGTACTTGTAACTTTTCTGTAAGTTTCCAATTATTTAAAAAAAAAGATTGTAATTGACTTTTGAACTGGGCTTCCAGTGTACCTATGGTTTTAGTTTTTATCACTCAGTATTTAATGGAGCTCAGATTTGTCTGACTTGGGAGTCCGAATTCTTACCATCTCAACTCAACTGCTCTCCTGGCAGCACTGAGAAATAACTATCATCCAAATCTCACTTTATGTTATTTGTTACGTATTTCTTACATCAAAAATAGTCTCCTATCCACTTTAGGTACAGTCATATTTTCTTCTCCTGTTAAATTATTAAAACTTTGGAGCAGAGATCATTCTTTGGTTCTTTTTGGATTGTGGACAACACGTAGCATCCTGCCAGTGCTGAGCAATTAATATGAACTTAATCATTATGTGTTGATGGATGGAGTCTTAAGAAAACCATCGATATCAATTTCCAGAGTTTCTGAAAATGAGTTTCTTTTTCTTCCAAGCTAGTGGAACCTCTGTCTTCATTATCACAATCTTTGTGTTTCTCAAGAACCTTACTTTTTATAAAGCACTTCCTCATTTTTGGTATGTTTTTAGGAGAAGTCCTGCCATCTATAGGGTTGGTGGGAAGTCAGGTTAGACGATATCCAAGAAGCCTTGCGATTGTGAGACTGAATGATGCTGTGATCTCAGTTGAACCATACACATGCTTATCTATTAAAATGGAGAGGAAGAATGACTACTGTTATCCTTTGGATACCAAATTTGAGGTTCAGCAAGTTTAGTATGTGCCCAAGAGGCCGGCAAGAACCCCTGAGCTTGGTTCTTCCATCTCTTACTAAGGAGTGAGTCTGTGTTGTTCCTTGAGTTTTTTCATCCTTTCACATCACTTGTCTTAGTCAATCAATGTAATGTCTCGTGCATGTATTTATCATTTGGTTAGCAAACAGTGTTGACAACTGAGAAGCAAATATTAGCCTTGCCTTGATTTATTCTAAGGCGTACACTAAAAAAAAAAAAGCCAATGACTTAAATATATCCCCCCCCCCTTTTTAAGATTAGTCAACTGTTCTGTAATAGGTACCTTACAACCATATAATAAGCAGACACCTATTTTTGGATTCATCTTAAATAATCATTTAGCATAACAGGCTATTTACATCCAGCCCACATGCCTCTTTCCGACAACTGAATTATACTTCTGCCCTTGACCGAGATGTGGGGAAGCAGAAACAGGATGGCATTGTTAGGGGAGGAGAGCGAAGGAACAGATAATCGGGCCTAAAGAAATGACTCAGAAAGCACAGTGGGGCCAGTGTGCGGCGTCTTACATGGTGTTGTGGG